TAAATGCAGTCACGTACTTTTCTCTAAAATGTAGTTGATTTTAGAACACCTCAAGAGGGGCAAGCATTCCTGCATTTCATAAAAAATAAGAGAATTACCTGGTTAATTAGGGATAACCAGGCAAAAAGAAAACCATACAATGCACGGTTAACTGAGAAACACTGGCAAAAGCCCACACACACCACATAATTAATTAGGGGACAATCGTGAAAATAACGACCATACGATTGACAAAAACCCAGACGTCATAATCTTTGTTTGGAAACTGCCGTGGATCGTCTCTCATCTTTTCTCGAAAAGGGGAGCAAGCCACAGCTACTGCATCGAGCGATGCATACATCCATATTACTATTAATTACTCCCTCCGTCCGGAATTACTTGTCACAGAAATAAATAAAAATGGATGTATCTAAAACTAAAATACGTCTAGATACATTCATTTTCTCGATAAGTATTTCCAGACGGAGGAAGTATTCAACAAAGGTCTGACAAGAGCATACATCAAACAAGCTGAAGCCATTAACCACATCTACAAACTTGATAATGGGAAATGTGCTAATGCCTCACCATCTAGAGTCGGTGTCTCCGCCGATCTGCCTGCATAGCGTACCAGGAGCAAACACTCGATGCAGCAGTGCCAAAGCGCACACCGCCTGCACACGCTTTAAAAGCCGCTGTCGCCATCGTATCGCTGACCCATCTTCAGAAAAAGATCCGCATCATCCTTGGTTAGCCATCTATGCCGCCATGTTGGGAAAAAAACACCGCCAACATGCACTCATCCAGCCGAGATATATGTTCAAGCAACACGACCTTGGGATAGGATGTGCCCCTCTGTGTGGTCCCGGGGATGGGGGCACACATCTTATTCTCATGCCCGACGACACAGTTTCTTTGGGGCTTTGTCCGTGAGCCTTTGCGGCCTGAATGGGAGGCTCCGGACATGTCCGGGTCGCTTCAAAGTTGTGCCAACCAGACCGGGAGGAGGATACGCCTCTTCTTACTTAGGCTGATTGTAATGGGGAGTATCATATACTAATATCATGTATATGATACTAGTGTATGATACTACCTCCCTAATGCTTAGTATCATATATTAGTATCATGTAGTACTTTATTTATTGACATGTATCACATATAGTATTATAACATTTATTATGATATGGTATCATGATAAGATACTCAACTCTTTCTTTCTTCATTTAATTATATGACACCTCATCAAAATTGCCTACTCCCTCCGTCTAGATGAGTAAGTCATCTTAGACTGGCCATAGTGGGGGTAACATAAGTAGTATCATGCACTTGGGACTCGCAAACATACTTACGTGACAGGCAATTAAAAAAAAGATGGTTATAGTAACATAGGTAGATACAGTAACATAATAAATGTGATGCTACTATGTGTCATGCATGGCAATAAATGAGACCACCTATATATGATATTATGCATTATAGAGGTAGTAATATAGATTAGTAACATATGCATGTTACTAGTCTAAGTTACTCTCCACTATGACAAGCGTTAGGTTGTGCACCGTGACCAAGGAGGAGGGGAAAACGAGAGACTTTAATGTTTATTTACTAATTAATAGCATTGCATGCAATGAACTAACCACTGCATGTCATGTTTGGTAGTCTCAAATCATTAAAACCATGTATACGTATCCCTCATCTTTCTTGGTTGATATGTCAAGAAACAAAAAACGAGGTAGAAGTTAATGCACCGCGCTTAAGTGTTTTGAGATTATTTGGTTTCGTAAGATGAATTACACACTTAGACGAAGGAAGTAGTTGACATGCATAATACTAGCTATGATACTACCATTACAACCAGCCTACTTTACGAGTGCTCTAAGCGGAACTAATTAATTAGTTTTATACCGGCACTCAAAAGAGGACACGAACCTAAAAGATAGATGAGACACGTTGCGCAGTAGCTAGCCTAGGACTAGGAGGACAGGCCCGACTGACCGGCCGGGAACCGCGTAGGTGCGCAACACGTACGTATGGTTGCATGTATGTCAAGTTGGACGCATGCACCAGGTAGAAGAGTTCGTACGGTTATGGGGATAACCTAGAGCAACGTGCGCGCACATATGTCGCCAAAACTCACAGCTTTCGATTTCTTGAACATGGCCAAAAACTCACAGCTGGCTGGACTATGCTAGTACCCAAACCATGGGCAGATCAGGCCCATGCATGCATATGCAGGAGGTGACACACACACGTACGCGGTACACACGGGCGTCTCCCATGCATGAACATGCGTGTACCGTGGTAAACTTCCTGTAGAAAATGTTATCGTAAACACCCTGTCAGTGTTCGCCCTGTTCGGCGGTCAATCCTAGTAGGAGGAAGAAGGTGGGTAGCATGCTATAGATCGTTATGTCTGGTTCTAGCAAGGTTAGACATTGTTTCCTGTCATATGTTAGCTCTTAAGACATCGATTGTTTGGGTGATGCCATGACAATAGCCGATCTAAAATTCTGGTTTTTCTTCTCTAATTGGTATCTAACCAATTGCCTAAATTGATTAGTGAAGTAAAAAAATTTACCTCATGTCCCCTCAGCACCTAAAATTACTCCACCGCTCGGTTGCCGAGTAAAACACGTGCATGTCTCTCCACCTCTTCCCCCATCCAATCCTCCACCACCCACACCTCGCCTACCACCCCGCACCGCTCCCGCATCCCCACCCGCGCCGCCATGGCCGGTCCCACGGCTGCCGCTCCCTGCCGCCCGTCCACAGCACCGATCCGCACCGCCCCATCTGCCTCCCGCAGCCGCCTACTCGGCTTCCCCGTGCTCCCTCCAATGTTGCCGCCACAAAGGCCATACATCGGTGTGCGGGAGCAGGCATAGGGGACATGAGTGGCGAGATTAGGGACTGGCACACCCACAAGAAGCGGTGGCTCGGGAGCTTCAGCTCCGCCGAGCAGGCCACCCGCGAAAACAACATTTGGTCCGTGCGGCTGCACGACACGGACGGCCACCAAAACTTTGAGTTCAACGAGATGCCGTCGACCCGCGGGTGGTCTCCACGTGGGAGAGGAGGGAGAACCGGGAGGCGATGGAGCACTTGCCGGCGGAGGCCTCTGACGGGGCGTACATGGCGGAGCTCTGCCGCCTCTAACCGGATCAAGTGGAAGCAGAGCGCCGCATGTACGAGCAGCTAGTGGCAGGGGCGATGGTCATTGTCCTATCCAGTGATGACGAAGACATCGGCGGCAACAAAGGCGACGACAGCAACAACGCGCGGTGTCAACAGAGGCAACGGAGGCGACAACGATGATGGCAGAAAGGAGTCAGTAGCATCTTCGACCGGGGCGGTATCTTCGACTCCTCATATGGCATAGACCCCAACCCCATGACCGGTGGGTTGTCCAAAGCCGAGTGGAAAGAAGTCGTCGAAGATACAGATAGAGAATAAAATTAGTAAGTTTTAGACTTGGTTTCGGTTAATTAGTAAGTTTAACTAAGTTTCGGTTTATGACATTGTAAAATATAATGAACCGGCACCGAATTTCGGTTAGTATGCTTAATAAGTACTTGCTTTTGAATTGAGTTTTTATTCGTTTGCTTTGAGTTTGTTTTTTACTCGACTAAATTTAGGAAATCGGCTAGAAACGAGCAAAACTTAGGCCTCCTTTGGTTTGTAGGAATTTTATAGGAATTCTATACGATAGGATTTGCAAAGGAAAAATTCTTTTGAAGCCCTTTGGTTTGTAGGAATTGATTCCTATTCCTATGTAGGATAGGATTCAATCCTTCACATTTTGCAGGAAAAAAAACATGAGCCTAGACTCAATGGAAAAATTCCTATCCTATGCACCAAATAACATCTCTTCCTCTATAGGAATTGAGATGCATGTCATCTCACTTCCTATGATTTTTCTATTCCTATAAAATTTCTATCCTATGAACCAAAGAAGGCCTAGTGTAGTAAAAATACCTCACTAGGATTTACTCGGTCATTTACTCCTCTATTGTTTAGGGGGTCGGGTAGAGATGCCCTAACTTGTCCCGAAAATCATGGTGGTTCCATGAATTTTTCCTTCACAGAAAATATGGTTAATTTATACACGAATCTATCTAGGCTATGGTTATGCGAGTAATATTTGATAAGCATACGATGGTGTCCTAAACCAACCAGCCAACCATATGATTGTTCGGCTGGCCGGTGACTAGCAAATGCGTGCGCGCGTCTTCCCCATGAACATGAACACGAACATGCATGCATACGCAAATAATGCCATGGTTTCGATGACTCTTATCATGTAATGTGTTACCTAGTTCTGCGCGCGCGCGCCCATACCGGCCGGCCACTCCTGCTCGTCGGCACATGAGTTCTTGGGTGTACCTACGACCAACGTACGTACGTGCCGCGTAGTGCAAGACCATGAACCCTGGCTAGTGGGTGATCACGGGACGCACTGTGGCCAGCTGACTGATTGAGCCATTCGATTTCGACCATGCACCCGATCGGAATGACACGACATGACACCCTCCACGCGCAGGCACGATCAGCAGCTGGAAATTCATTCACCGGAAAGCTTAAGCTGCAGCGGTAAAGGATGCTAGCTAGCCAGAGGCATAGAGCCGTACGCCATCTTTCCTGCAGCACTAGGCCGTGATGGCCCTTGAGTCGGCAACCTTCCAAGCACAAACAGCTCCCTTGTCTGTTACCATCTCCTTGTGATCCCATCCCCATTCCCCAGAGCCAGCTCACATGCATGCGTCGTCTTCTAGTTCTAGCTTGGACCCGTGGTGGGCAGCTAGCTCTTGGTGATCGTCTGATCGGTCTTCACATGGCGTGAGTAAAATAATATCTGTGGGCTGAGCTAGGACCTAGTTGAACCCCCTCCGTCCTTCTTGAGCTATAAATAGCGCCCCGGGCTCCCTTGTACTGCACACACACACAAACACACGGCTGAGGCAGTCTAAACCCTGTACACGCACAGCAGCAGGAGAGGTAGCTAGCTTGGTAGCTTGGTAGCCATGGCGAAGAAGGCCGCGGTTATCGCCACGCTGCTGGCCCTGAACCTGCTCCTCTTCACCTTCGCCGACGCCTGCGGCTGCCACTGCGGATCCTGCCCTAGCCCCGGCGGAGGGGGCGGCGGTGGGGGTGGCGGTGGAGGTGGGAGCGGTGGCGGTGGTGGTGGGAGCGGTGGCAGTGGAGGGAGCGGTGGAGGCGGTTCTGGAGGAGGCGGCAGCAGCGGAGGCGGATCTGGAGGAGGCGGCAGCGGCGGAGGCGGATCAGGAGGAGGTGGCAGCAGCGGCGGCGGGTCCGGCGGTGGCGGATCGGGAGGAGGCGGATCAGGCGGGCGCGCGCGGTGCCCCATCGACGCGCTGAAGCTGGGCGTGTGCGCCAACGTGCTCAACGGGCTGATCAACCTGCAGCTGGGGACGCCGCCGAAGCAGCCGTGCTGCTCGCTGATCCAGGGCCTCGCCGACCTGGAGGCGGCGGTGTGCCTCTGCACGGCGCTCAAGGCCAACATCCTGGGCATCAACCTCAACGTGCCCATCGACCTCAGCCTCCTCGTCAACTACTGCGGCAAGAACGTCCCCTCCGGCTTCCAGTGCCCCCGCTAGAAGAGAAGACCCGAGAGATCCATCGTCCACAGCAGGCATCCACTATACGTACGTACGTGCATGCATGCGTACACCAGCTCGCATGCATGATCTACGATCCATCCATTGACTAGTACTCTATAGCTAGTCGTATACGTTATTTGCTTCATAATTTATCATCGCTCTTGCTAGTTGCATGCTAAACTTTACATGTGTGCTCGTGTCTCTGTGTGTGTGTGTGTGTGGGGTAGTATCCTTTGAACTACTGCTTGTCATCGAACTAGGCCACGGTACTGTATGGACCATGGATCGAGTTCTCAGCCACATATGATCTCATGCTTGTACCGCTGCCTGCTACTATTATATTTGCTTCAAAAGGAGGTTGCTCCTCCTACAATTGTAATAAAGTAATTAATATCACATGTCAACTTTCAGTACTATGTGTGATCTTCCGCGTTTTTGTTAACTGATTCGATTAAAATTGTGTGTCCCCGCAAAAAAAATTGTGTGCGCTTTTGATTTCCTAGGGTGGTACTGGTCCATGCAGTTTGTTAGCGTCTGTGAATTCATTCATGTGCTCCCTGAGTTCAAAAAAAAAAAAGTGCTCCCTGAGTTATCGTTTTTTTTAGGATCGGAGTTATCGTGTTGGCAGCAGCTGGTTAATTATTCTTTCCATGCAAGCTCCGCGCGCTATGAGATCTGTGTCGCGTCTCATTAGGACCGGGATGCACGGATCGAAATGTATCCATCACCCACTTGCATGCACACATGTGTCGTGCTTCATTCTGTACACTGCACAGAGCACAATGATCTGAAATGTGCTACAGGCAGAAGCAGGCTAGCTACACATTACCAAGCTTCCGGTCGACGTGACTCACGAAAAAGGACACGTAACCACAGGCTCCTAGCCTCTCTTCATTTCAAAAAAGAAATGCTAGACAGCTAGGTAAACATAAGCACCTGGCTGAGGGTGATTATCCAGCAGGTGCATGTGCCAAGCCAGAGACGGGGCTAGGTAACAAACACTTTGTTCCTATGCCTGCAAGCATATGGACCGCACCCTACAAGGCATGCACGTGTCACGGTCAAAGATGACGGGGAAAAGATCTGCGTGTCGACGCTGCCTCCATCTACACCACGTACGTTCACGTACCTACGGCAAACAGCAATGTGTCTCCTTGCTAGACATTGTCTTCGCACGCATCGTGTCATGATGATGTTGTCAATCGACCTTGCTATGTTGTCAATCCACCATGCTAAATTCGCTAATGCTAGGACTGTTAGATTGGATCGACGAAGCCTTCCTACTCTTCCGTAGAGGAGCCGCGGGTATTTATTGATTGGGGGCAGGAACAACCCCTGCTGTGATTTACAAGAAGCCCACTGATCGCTAGGATTCAGCAGGATGAGGATAGGAAGTTAAACGGGAGAGGAAAGGATAGAAGAAGTAGTTAAGATTACATAACGCAAATATCTCTAAGTCTAACATCCTCCCTTAATCTGAACTACCTATTCTAGATTGAGATTGTTCTTGAATGCTTCAAATGGCTTGTATAGTAGAGCTTTAGTGAACCCATCAGCCACTTGATCTCTGGAAGGAATAAACCGTATCTCCAACTTCTTCTCTGCAACTCTTTCTCGTACAAAGTGAAAATCTATCTCAATATGCTTGGTCCTGGCATGAAAAACATGATTGGCACTTAAATAAGTAGCACCCAAATTATCACACCATAGGCATGAAATACGATGTTGCTTCACACCCAATTCCTCAAGCAAAGATTCAAGCCAAATAATTTCAGCAGTAGCATTTGCCAGTGACTTGTACTCAGCTTCAGTACTTGATCTTGACACTGTTGCTTGTTTCCTGGCACTCCACGAAATAAGATTAGAACCAAAGAAAACAGCAAACCCACCTGTTGATTTTCTATCATCACTGCAGCCTGTCCAGTCTGCATCAGAAAAAGCACTAACAAGTGTAGAATTGAAACGTCTGAAATGTAGTCCCAAACCCACAATGTGCTTAACATACCGTATGATTCTTTTGACAACTGTCCAATGAGCAGAAGTAGGAGCATGCAAGTATTGACATACTTTATTAACAACAAATGAAATATCTGGTCCTGTCAAGGTTAAATATTGCAATGCTCCAACAACACTTCTGTATTTAGTGCTTTATTCCTCTTTAAGTGGCTCCCCTTCATATGCTGACCGCTATTCTGATGAAGATAATTGTGTAGGTGAAGACTTGCAATCCTTCATTCCCATCCGAGCCAAGAGTTCAATGGCATATTTTTCCTGTTTCAACACTATACCATCCCGAACCTTCTTAACCTCAATGCCTAAAAAGAAACTCAAATCACCAAGATCCTTTAAAACAAATTTTGAGCTCAGATCATGCAGGAGAGCGTCAGTAGCATTCTGAGATGAGCTTGCAACTATAATATCTTCAACATATATGAGCACAAAAATAACAGTATTTGCTTTATTGTATATGAAGAGAGATGTGTCAGCCTTTGATGCGATAAATCCAAGATGTTTCAACTGCATACTTAACCTAGACTACCATGCTCTAGGTGCTTGTTTCAAACCATAAAGGGCCTAGTCAAGTTTGCATACATGATGAAGTTTTTTTTGTTTTCATAGCCTGGTGGTTGCCTCATGTAGACCTCCTCTTTCAGAACACCATGCAAAAACGCATTACGTCTAGCTGCCTCCCCTCGACACAAAAATAGCTAGCACAAGTCTTATGGTTGCAGCTTTTACCACAGAACTAAATGTATCCTCATAATCAATACCATAATGCTGCTTAAAACCTTTAGCAACAAGGCATGCTTTATACCTGTCAATGGAGCCATCTGCCTTTTTCTTGATCCTATACACCCACTTACAGTCAACGATATTTTTACCTTTCTGATTTGGCACCAAGTGCCATGTTTTGTTTCTCATTGAAGCTGTATATTCCTCAACCATAGCCTTTTTCCACTTTTGATCTCCAAGTGCATCATTCAATTTTGTTGGCTCACATGAAATGCACAACATACCATACGGTATAGTGCCATCAGTTCTTATTTTGATTCTTAATACCTTTTTGTAGCCGAGTTGTAACTCCTGACGTGGCTGGTGGAGGTTGTTGTACACACGGACGCACGACATCACTGCTTCCAGAAGATCTCGGAGAGGAACCAGGAGATGCCACACCAGATCCAGTGGCCGCGGGTGTGGCCTGCACACTCATGACCGCACCGCCCGTTGCCATAGCCGATCCCGCGCCAGGTGGGCCTATTGGCCGCATGTGCGAGCCGCGCCTCGCAGCTGGCTACATGCGCGGGCCGGCGCTCAAGGAGGATTCCACACGTGAAGACGTGGCGATCGCTGATTGCGTCGCCCGGCCCTGGTCGTGCAGGCCGACTGGCTCGCGATCCAGGGCGGATATCCGCGCCCGATCCGAGGAGGATTGGCACGCAGGAGTGGCAGGCGCCGCCAGATCGTCTTCGTACGTCGCGCCAGCTTCGTCTTCTTGTTCCACATGCAATATAGCTTCGTTTTGAACGTGATTTTGATCATTTTGATCGTTTTGAACTCTGTTTTCTTCAGAGACCTGCACACACGGAAGACAAGGACTGATTCCAGTAGGAATACTATCATCATGTTGGTTAGTGCAATTGTTTCCCCCGTGATCAAAATCTCGAAGTGTAGATGGAAGAAGAAGAATCTCTTGACGAAGGAGAGCATCGGCATTAGGATGAAGGGATTCAAACGGGAAAACTGATTCATCAAACACAACATCTCGAGAAATATAAACTCTGCCGGTGGAACATCGAGACACTTAACTCCTTTGTGCATAGGGCTATAGCCCAAACACACACATTTTTTTGAATGAAACACAAGTTTGCGTGTGTTGTATGGCCTTAGTTTTGGCCAACATGCACAACCAAAGACTCGAAGGGATTTGAAGTCTGGTTTGATGCCAAAAAGGCTGTGATGGGACTCTCGAATTTGATGACTTTACTTGGTCGAATATTTATAAGATATGTGGCAGTGAGAAAAGCTTCATCCCAGAATTTTAGGGGCATGGAAGCATTGGCTAGGAAGGCTAGTCCTACCTCAACAACATGACGATGTTTGCGTTCAGCTGACCCGTTCTGCTGGTGAGCATGGGGGCAAGAGACATGGTGAGAAATTCCAATTTTTTGGAAAAAGGAATTTAATTTTTCATACTCACCACCCCAGTCGGTTTGCATAGCAAGAATCTTTGAGTCTAGTTGGCGTTCTACGAGGTTTTGGAAGTTAAGGAACACTTGGAAAACATTAGATCGTTTCTTTAGCAAATAATTCCAAGTGAACTTGCTATAATCATCAATGAAACTAACATAATAAGAAAATCTGCCAACTGATGTGGGAGCTGGTCCCCATACATCGGAAAAAACTAACTGCAAAGGAGCAGTGGATACACTCGTAGATATAGGGTAAGGTAGCTGATGACTTTTGGCTTGCTGGCAAGCATCACAAATTGACTCAACACTAGACTCATATGGAAGATTATTCTTGCTAAGGACATGTTGAACTATAACTGAAGAGGGATGACCGATACAACTATGCCACCTTGCCGAGGAAGGTTTGGTGACACTCCACGCTTGCTTATTCGACCGTGATGAAGATGAAGATGATATGAGTGGATATAGGCCTCCCTCACACTTTCCTCTAAGGATGACTCTCCTCGTTGCCAAATCCTTGATCACAAAAGAGTAGATCACAAAAGAGTAGGAATAAAATATTATGAGAACGTTGTTGTCAAGGGCAAAGCGATGAATAGAAACGAGATTCTTAGAAGCACGTGGAATGTGTAAGACATTATTAAGGTGTAAATCTTTTACGGGGGTTTTAACAATTGTTTTTCCAACATGATTAATGTCCATACCAGTTCCACTTGCCGTGTGCATATGATCACCGCCATGATACCTTTCCCGCATAGTTAGCTTGTCAAGCTCCCCGGTGATGTGCTCAGTAGCGCCGGAGTCTGC